TCCCACAGTCCCAGAGACAAACCATCCCATGTCCCAGAGACAAACCATCCCACAGTCCCAGAGACAAACCATCCCACAGTCGCAGAGAAAAACCATCCCACCATCAAAGAGACAAACCATTCCACAGTCCCAGAGACAAACTATCCCACCGTCCCAGAGACAAACCATCCCACAGTCCCAGAGACAAACCGTCCCACAATTCCAGACAACCCATCCCACAGTCGCAGAGAAAAAACATCCCACCATCTAAGAGACAAACCATTCCACAGTCCCAGAGACATCACACAGTCCCAGAGACAAACTATCCCACCGTCCCAGACACAAACCATCCCACAGTCCCATAGACAAACCGTCCCACTGTCACAGAGACATACTGTCCCAAAGTTCCTGAGACAACCTATCCCATAGTTACAGACACAAACTATCCCACCATCCCAGAGACAACCCATCCCCTGTCCCAGAGACAAACCGTCCCCCTGTCACAGAGACGTACTGTCCCACAGTCCCAGAGACAACCCATCCTACAGTCACAGCGACAAACTGTCCAACTGTCTCAGAGACAAATCATCCCACTGTCCCAGAGACAAATCATCCCACTGTCCCAGAGACAAACCATCTCACATTCCCAGAGACAAATCATCCCACAGTCCTAGCTCTTCATCCAGCGTATCTTTCTCTCAAAGCTTTACTGCAAATGTCTGTAAACACGAGCTTCTTCCAAATCCTGCTCTTGACATCAGGACCTCACAGCACTGAAAATATACAAAGATTTAAATGTCCTGAAACACAAAGACCTCCAGAACTGTGTTTCGTGTGTAAATTATTCACTTTGGTCTGTAGCATTTTTTACTAATGGCTCTGAGACGTTCAGAGTTTGTACTGAGAGAATATTTTCATATGTTGACTCAATGTAGCAAAATAAATGTTTTTTTTTTTAATGCTGCTTGATGGTTATTTTCCCTTTTAGGTAAAGAGGCCGTACACTCTTATGATGACAATAAATCTTATTTATTCTGTTTTTCTAAGTTATTTTTCATTTCCATTTTGATTTATTTTTAAATTATGTGAAACATGAGACAAATCTCTAGTGTTTGGCCTACATTAAGGTTCCTTTTTAGTGTTCATTTGCTTTGTTTCAACTTCCTGCTTTTATTTTGAAATGGGTGCTCCTGGGGGGCACACCCCCACTCCTGCACATCTTGGAGGGCCCTGTCATCTCCCGATCTGTTACGGAAGCCAATTCGTAGTGTCAGCTCATTTGCGCATGCGCTAAAAGTAATACTTCCAGGTCGCACCGATCACCGTTAATTTACTTAGAAAAGTATGATCTTCATGTTGCTTATTTATGCCACTCATATTTTCGTTAAAATCATTGACATATTTACGTCATTGGTTAAAATGCTGTGCGATGCATATTTAGTCAAGTCAAGTCAAGTCATATTTATTTATAGAGCACAATTTAAAACAGATAGACTGTTATCAAAGTGCTTAACACTAAGGGTAACACTGAGAAATAAAAAGCAGTAAGAATATACCTTAAAAAATTAAAACAACAGCATTAAAATGAAGACATGGAACAAGATATACTAAATCAACTCACACAGTATGAAACGCCAGAGATTTGAACACAGGAAGGGATGTGGCATGCCTAATGTTGGGGGGTAGGTTGTTCCACAGTTTGGGACTCATGACTGAAAACGCCCGATCTCCTCGGAGCTTCAGTCGTGTTTTTGGAACAACCAAAAGCAGCTGATCGGATGATCTCAGAACCCGAGAGGGAACATATGGTTCCAGTAGCTCAGAGAGGTAGATGGGTACGAGGCCATTTAGGCACTTATAGGTCAGGAGGAGAATTTTGAAATCAATCCTAGTTCTCACAGGAAGCCAGTGTAGGGAGGACAGAACTGGTGTGATGTGCTCATACCTCGGTGTACCGGTTAAGAGCCGAGCTGCAGCATTCTGGACGAGCTGTAGCCATGAGATAGAGGCCTGGCTGACCCCAGCATACAGTGAATTACAATAGTCCAGGTGGGTTGTGATGAATGCATGGACTAGTGTCTCAAGGTCGGGTCTAGACAGCACTGGCTTGAGCTTAGCCACCTGCCGCAGTTGGAAGAAGCTTCGCTGCAGAACTGAACTGATCTGTTTGTCGAACTTAAAATCCGAGTCAAAAACCACTCCAAGGTTTTTAACAGAGTGCTTCAGATAAGGCTGAAGGGAGTCCAGGTTCACAGGATAAGAGGCGGCAGCTGAGCTAGGGCTAAAGACAATGACTTCAGTCTTCTGGTCGTTAAAACTTAGAAAATTTGAAGCCATCCATGTCTTAATGTCGTCCAGACATTTGAGGAGAGGGTGGACGGAACAAGCACTGGCTGGTTTCAGTGGCAGGTAGATCTGACAGTCATCGGCGTAGCAATGGAATGGAATACCATGTTTTCTTAGGATTGACCCCAGCGGAAGCAGATAGAACGAAAATAGAAGGGGTCCAAGAATCGAGCCCTGTGGGACACCGCAGGAAAGAGGCATTGAAGTGGATAGATTTTTACCCACCTTCACACAAAAACTCCTGTCAGAGAGGTATGAGCGGAACCAGTCTAATGCAGCACCTGTAATCCCAACCCAGTGTTCAAGCCGAGAGATGAGGATACTGTGGTCAACAGTATCGAAAGCGGCAGTAAGATCGAGGAGTACAAAAGCCACAAAATGGCCAGAGTCATTTGCTGTTAAAATATCATTACAAACCCTAACCAAAGCTGTTTTGGTGCTGTGGAGCTGCTTGAAACCAGACTGAAAGACCTCAAAGATTTTGTTCTCAGTTAAAAACTGATTTAACTGAGTAAAAACTACTTTTTCCAGGATTTTGGACAGAAAGGGGAGTTTTGAGATTGGTCTGTAATTTGAGCAGGCTGAAGGGTCAAGACCAGGTTTCTTAATTAACGGTGTGACTACTGCATGTTTGAACGCCTCTGGGACCACGCTTGTAGCAATACTACTGTTTAGTATTGTTAGAACAGCAGGTCCAATCGCTGGTAGAACCTGTTTGAACAATGCTGCTGGGATGGGGTCCAATGGTGATCCTGATGGCTTCATGTGACCAGCAACTTTGTTTAACAATGGGAGTGTGATTGGTTTGAATTGCCTGAAAGTAGCAGAACACGAAACAAAAGCTGATGGGTCGACTAAGGAGCGGGGGATGGAGGCCCTGATCAACTCCACTTTGTTAGCAAAGAATTTAGTGAAGTCATTGCAGGTGTCAACAGAGGCCTCCATACATGAATACGAAGGGACATTTAGAATGGAATTTACAGGAGACGAGGGAAACTTGGAGGGTGCAGCAGGAGACGAGGGAAACTTGGAGGATGCAGCAGGAGACGAGGGAAACTTGGAGGATGCAGCAGGAGACGAGGGAAACTTTGAGGATGCTGCTGCTGTCGACGGAGAGGCCAGGGGAGTTGCTGCTGCTGACGTCGGAGAGGCCTGGGGAGTTGCTGCTGCTGTCGGAGAGGCCTGGGG